TATATATCACTTGCTTAAACAAACAATGTTGAGTAACAAGCTCCACTTGTGCTGGTGGAATTCTTGACTAAAATAAGTACTTTAATATGTAGACTGTATATAGGTAATTTATTGTTTGCTATAAAAGAGGTAGCCGTAATGCGTGCGTTCGCGACCGGGTGTTTCCGAGCAAGAAGTAGCGTTATAGTGCCATGTTGTGTTCATGATTGTGGTGGGGCCGCAAAGTGTAGTGCCATTACTACAAAGGTAGTGCCATTGTTGGAGTACACGTGCTAAGGCTTGCCGTCTTGAGAAAATACTCCTTTGCTAGATCGGAGACCGACTACAAATAGACGGCTCTAACTGCAAAGCACACAAAAACACAAATATATGACTTCAATAGCTTACAATCTCTGCTTCTCATCATTATCATCATCATTACAGCCCTTCACAAGTCCATTGCTGAACATAGGCCTCCCCTAAAGAATGCCACAAAGCACGGTCCTGAGCCACCTACATAAAAAATAAAAAAAAAATAAAAAAAACCCCGCTCTTCATTATCTAAACATACATTTTAATTCTAAAAACCAAAAATGACAAAACAATTACTCTATTTTAACAACAACCAAAAATAACAAAAACTAATTTATTCTATTTTTATAACCCAAAATTAAAAAAGTACAAAGTATATGTGTGCATGTATGCATGTGTGTGTGTGTGTGTGTGTGTGTGTGTGTGTGTGTGTGTGTGTGTGTGTGTGTGTGTGTGTGTGTGTGTGTGTGTGTGCGTCTGGGTGTGTGTGCGCGTGTGTGTGTGTGTGTTTGTGTGTGTGATCTCTTTTTTCCCCATCGGTTGTCGGTTCTTCGAGCTATATGGCCGGCCCATTACCACTTCAGGTTACTAGACCTCTGCCTTTACAATCTGCTATTAGCACTGGCTCGGCAAAATCTAAGCCTGTGGTTAAAAATGGGAAATTAAGCTGCGTCCTATTACTAGATAGGTTACCCATATTGACCTGAATGGGCTTGCCCTTTACGCGATTACATCGAACACAAGTTCGTACAATTTGTATAGCTAAGTTTCACCACCGAGCGGCCAATATGTTAGTCTTATATTTGCTAAAAGTAATTGAGGTCCATTTTTTTAAAGCACAGTCCACCTGATGGTATGTGGTTGCTATGACCCATAGACATCCACATCTATCCTCAATAAAGAATCAAATTGCAGATGCGTTTTCAGCCGTTAGGACTAACATGGAATGCCTCTTTTCCAGTAAAAAGGGTCTCCGGTTCTCTACACTCACCATACGAAACACAGCAGCGTTAAGCTGCTATTTACGCTGGTATTCTGTGAGAGCGTGGTCCTTCCCCGGTCGAGCTGACCCATTCGTGCTACAACTATACTACTAATATAACTGCAGCATGGCTCTACCACGTAAAAAAGAAATCCTTAGTCCTGCATGAAAGAGAGAGATGTGGTACGATTCAAATATTATTTTAGTGAGGTGATGTTTGCTACAGAGTAATATAGGATGCTTTATATCGTAAATGTAGTTAGAGTTCGGAAGGCGTCCGCCTACATGTAATATATTACAAGAATCAATAAAAGAAGAGAGACTGATCAATCTATTTTTACTATGTAATATTTTGTATTGTATAATGTATATTCCTCAAGGAACATTTCCTGCTGAGCACATTGTATAATTAGATTTTGTGAACGCTGTAATTCTGAATGAGACAAGTGAGATAAAATTTCGTTATTTGCAATCCTGCAATTATGAATAAACCTATTGACATACCGACCGCATGGACAGTTTCCACAAGCTTGTCATTCATATCGTCCACTTCATTGCAGTCTTCTAGGCACTGAAGACGGTTTTGTAACTCGAGCTGAAAGGTTTCGGGACTTTGGAAAAGAGCACCAGGGGGACGGAACGTTGACTTCATTAGACGAGACCTCTCCAACTTAACGTTTAGGTTCAGTGTGCCTCTAACCAATTGGTGATCGCTATCAGTTTTCACCCTCGCGATCACGGAGACATCACTGAACTGTTGTCGTCTGGTCGTCATAATGAAGTTAATCTCATTGTTTGTCGAACCGTGGGGTTCGACCTGGTCCACTTTCTGTGGGGCCGCTTCTGGAAGAAAAAGTTCATCATAAAGAGTCCGTTTTTCTCCATAAAGTCGGCTAGCTGCTGGCCCCATGGGTTCTGTTGCCCCATTCCAAATTTCCCTACTTTCAGCTCACCGTTCTCTCTTGTGCCTAGTTTTGCATTGAAGTCTCCCATTAACACCGTATATTAGGTTTTGGAGGAATGCATGGCTCTAGAGATATCCTCATACATTTCCTCCACCTCCTCATCGGGGTGTGCCAAGGTTGGTATGTAAACCTTTATGACTTTCAGCGAATACCGTTTGGTGATTCTGAGTATAAGGTACGCAACCTTTGTCGACACACTCTCAATGTTTACAACGTTGTTGACGAGAGACTTGTGGACGATAAATCCGACACCTCCTTGGGACAGATGGTCGGCCTTCCGGTGATAGAGCTAGTTGCCGGATTCGAGGATTACCGTATCCTCCCCCTCTCTTCGGACCTCGGATAATCCTATAATATGCCAGCGTAACTTGTCTATCTCTTCTTCCAGCTCCACGATCTTCTCGTCAGTCCTCAGGGTGCGTGCGTTGTATGTTGCCAGTTCGAGTCGTCTTAGGTGGCAATCGAACCTCAACCGGAGATTCATAGCACCCCCTGCCCCGCCGTTACCATGTCACATCGTAGCCAGGAATAGCGGGGCCGCCGGGGACTGGGGGCCGTCTCTTTGTTACTCTCAAAATAGCGAGATATTTGCCATAGTTGCCACGCTTTGCGAGCGGGTTGGCAACCGCAGTTTTTTTATTGTAATTTTGCTGATATCAGGAAGATGCTGCTGCCCATCTTCTGCCTGTTTCCCTTTGTCGCCTTTTACGACACCCATGGGAAGATATGGGGTCGTGGATATTCTTAACCGCCACTTCACGGCAATTATAGACAGTAGTCAAATGTTAAATGAACAATTCGTCGTAGGAGTAAAGAGTTGTAAGGGTCAAAAGTTAAAGGTGCAAACATTTCTATATTGCAGTCGAAATCCGCTTAAATTTAAATTATTTCTATTCAATATCGGCTTTTAAATAGCATTTTTTGGAAAGTCACGTCAACCTCGCTTCAGCGAGCCCCTACCGTGGGAGGCCTTATTAGGAGACGCGGAAGAAAATCACAAGTAGATTATTTTTTTCCAAAAAATTGCAATTTTACTTACAAATCGAGGACAAACTCTGCATATCTAGTTCTACTCTTCGAGGAGTTCCAGTAGCATGCACCGAGGTTTACCTTCAGGTCACTCTATTAAGTTCGGAGGTGAGGTCTCATATTTTTCCAAACAATTGCAATTTTACTTACAAAACAAAGGCAAACTCGGCCCATCTAGTTCTACGCTTCGAGTAGTTTCAGTAGCATTCACCAAAGTGCGCCCTTAGGTCACTCCATAAAGTCCATAACGTATGAGCATATTTATATCTAAATCACCCAACAGTTGAGCATGTCTTCTCTTATTTTCTGTAAGAGTACAAAACTTAGACTATAATATAAAATATGAACTAGACTCCTTGTCTCGTATTATAAATGCCAATAATACGTGTAAATTTTTTTACCCGTCTGTCGATCAGAGTGTAAATGCAAAAGAAAATTATTATCTGATGCTGTGTTTTAATGCAAGTGATGAGGCAATATATGTAATTTTGAATGATTTTTTTGTTAAGATTTAATGTATCTATTTGTAAGAAAACCAAATTTAATAAAAGAAGAAACTAATAAATAAAAAAGAAGAATCTATACATAAAATAAATCTGTAGAAAAGTCGTGTCTGTAATTCTAATATTTTCTGGAATAAACAAGTCCAGAAGAATAGTCTTAAATAAAGGGCTCAGTGCCCTTTATTTAAGACTATCTCTCTTCAGTGCCCTTTATTTAACCAAATTAATGGCTTTTATAATTTTTGTCTGTCTGTCTGTCTGTATATTCCCGATTCACGCAAAAACTACTTTACAGATATTCCAGAATTTTTGTGTGTAGGTGACCTGGGGTAACTTATAAGCTACTTTTTATCCGATTAAGAATCTTTAAAAAAAATGAGCGTTAAGTATTTTCCTTCCTTTAGATGTTAATTTCAATTTTATATGATTGATGTGTTTTTTTAATAAATAAAATAATTGTAAATAAACGCTAAAATTAGTTTTATATGTTGCATAATTAATTGAACTACGCCAAAAATGTCCGTGTCACTTTTTCAAAACATTGTCATCTAACTTAAAATACAAAAAGCAGTAACATTTTGCCTCCATTTACTTATAAATTTAATAATATAAATAACTTATATTTATATTATATAACTTATAGTTATAGAAGCGAGCGAACTACTTTCTTACTCTAAATAATATTAAAATGTTTACGCTCGAAAGACGGCGAACTGCAAAATCTTATATAGGTTTATGTTGCATTGTACTTATGAACTGTGTATAATATGTATTTTAGTTGTAGTAAAAATAAAAAAAAATATGTTTAAATAATTAAATTCATAATTGATTTGAATATTCTAACGTTAACTTTTTAATTCTTTCTGCTCTAACTTATTTGTTAGGTAAAGTTTTATTTAAATAAATACAAGAGTCGTGTATCTCGCCGTACTAAGTTTTTATAGCACAGTCACAAAAAGTGTACGATTCCCGCGAGTAACAATGAAACTGGTAAAGAAATTTTATTTGCTTATTAGTATTAATGATGTTTCTAAATTGGAGCCCACGCGAGCAAAGCCGCGGGTAAAAGGCTAGTACTTTATAATTTCTTTGAATTAGCTTGGCGAGTGTGTCGAACATGTTGTAAACACTTATGTCCAGCTGTTACTGACTTCGAAGAACTGATGATAATGAAGAGGAATGTAAAATGTATAATTAAATCATTAACCTTTGCTACGTATTATTTTACAGATGTTGGTGGAGAGCAGTATCGAGTTTTGCACAGAAAAATGGCCGAATTCCATTAACAGGGAGCTCTTTGGGACATTCAGCTTCATTTTGGTATACGCGGTGCCAGGTGTGTATTCAAGGCAGTTTGAATTAAAGAATTAAATTTTAGAAAATAAAAACCGATTTCAGAAAACTAATTTCCACATAATTTAATAGCTTCTAAAGTATTTGTTGAGACAAAATATAACGAAAAATTAGAGTCCTTGCTTCGGAAGCCATTCAACTATTTGGAAATTATTTTATTACTTTTAACAAAACACGTAAAATGTGTTTAATAAGAAATAAAATTATGAGAAAACCTGAAAGTCTACTCCTAATTACCTTTATTAGTAGTACAGCCATGCTGTAGCTTTAATATGGCTGTAGCGCGAATGGATCCACGTTCTCACAGAATACCAGCGTAAAATGACAGTTCAATACTGTGTTTCATATGGTGAGTGTAGGGAACAGAAGACAGTTTTTACTGGGTATCTTAGTCCTCAAGGATGACAATTTAGATTTTAAATCGAGGATGATATGGAGTGTAGTTACATCATCCACTTACTATCAGGAGGACTGTGTGTTCATTTGTCACCATCATTCTATAATAAAAAGAATATTACACGTGCTTCTCACTTAAGTGTTAGCCAAGTTCATTTTCTAAAATCGTTATATTTATAGGAAATATAACTAATAAAAGAAGGCGATATCTAGTTTCTATTAATTTTTATAAATTTTCTGTTATCTGTATCTAGCTAACCCCACGACGTTTAATTGATGGTTTGTTCATTATTCCAACACTTGTCGTTTGTAGCAAGTTAGTTTCCATTGACGACCTTATGACATGGCTGCTACGTTATAGATGCTGGGTTCAAGCCTTACAGCTTAAATATGACCGATTGTTATAAATCTGAAAAGGTAAAAAGCGATAAGTTTGCCGCGTTGTTTTAATCAAAATATGTTGTACTTCAGACATACAGGTTTTTACGATTTTTTACTTCACTGCTGTTACCGTTACCGTTAAAACCTTTTAAAGTCTACTGCTGAACATAGGCTTCTAGACAAGCGGGTTGGCAACCATAGTTTTTTTTTTAATTTTAGTCGTTATTAGGAACACGCTGCGGCCCATCTCCTGTTTTGTTTCCCTCTGTCGCCTCTTACGACACACACGCAATAATATGAGGTAGTGGATATTCTTACACCGCCTTAAACCTAGGTTGTTGAGAGGATATCCCTCGACTCACCACGGCTCAATCACAATCAAAACAAACAAATATGAGACAATAACCCAAACACCATTATTCAAAGTTCGACTGAGATGTGTATCGGTAAACAACTTAAAGTTTTCTCTAAGCGTTTTCCAATTGCCTTCGTCCTCTTTCGTTTACCTTCACACAATGGGACGAAACCAAAACATACCTTGTTATTTTATTTTTCAAATTGCCTATTGTCATATTGAACACATCATTTCAATTCGAAAGATTTGTGTTTTGTTAAAACGAATATTGTTAAAGGAATATGAATAAACTTTATTCACATTTAAAAAAATATACGTTTAACTTATAAAACACCAATTTGGATTGTTTTATAAGTTAAACGTATTTAGGCGCGAATTCAAGCTAACTCGGTTTTGTTATTGGAAGGAAGAGATGTTTAGAAAAAAATAAGTTCCATTTTTTCCTATGTATATTATGAGTTAGTTTTTTTTTAGGTTTGTATAGTATGCAAGATGTTTTAACATTTAACTGCACATTAATATATAAAATACAAATATCTTATATTAAACATAATATAAAATAAATACTTTTTTGCATTTACATGTCCTCCACTCACACACTATTGAAAAAGGAACATTTAAATTCATATATATTTACAGGTTATTCATTAAATCTGTTAGTAATTATTTGTCTGTCTTCATTTTAAAATTCTTTGGCGACAATTACTACTCTGTGTTTGACGATAGACAAAATATACTTACAAAAAGGTACAAAGTTTACCCTTCACGTATATCAATAGATATATAATTATCAAACATTAAACAAACTGACCTTTTATAAATACTTTATTAACAAGTAAAATATTATTCATCAATCAAAAAATATATAAAAATAGTTTGGAAAATACAAAATTGCATCACTCATGAGCGTTTCATTTAATTTTTTTGAAAAAAAAATTCTATTCCTGACTTTTAAAATAAATTATTTTCGTGTTTAACAGGTAGTGTCACCTACAGGGAAAAAATTAAAAATGTTCACTAAAATAAATCGATTAAATAAAGTATAAAATCGATATAGACTGTATGGTACATTTGTCCTTTGTATTTCAAGGGCTAAAAAGATATGAAAGCGCCTGTAAATTTTGATGGCAGTCAAACTTGAAAATCATTTTCTTAACAAAGTATACATACTAGGCTTTTGATATGAAATATGGAAACAGTTGATGTAATTCTGAAGATAATTATAAAAACCCGGTCTCAATACGTCATTTCCTTGGGGAGTTATCGTGACCACATACAAAATCAACTTCCGGACGTCCACGTAAATTTTTTTTGAAACCGTTTTTTTTTTCAAAGTAGCATTATTAAATTTTTTAAAGAAAATATAAAATTGATTAATTCGAGTGTTTTTTGATATACGGCTACTTATATTATTGTATAAGTGCAATATGGTTATGATAAAAGCATTCTAAGAACACAAAATTGCTTGACCTGGACGTGTCGAGAGTAATTCACTACCTAATAACGCTTCACGTTATCAGGTGTGCACTATACAAACATATAAAGAAATAACTATTAATATTAACATTAATAAGTCATACTTCAACCGGGCGTAAAGGTTACACGCACTGAGTTATTAATCAAGAATTAATTAAAACGAACTCTGTTTTTTTATTCATTGATTCTGAAATAAGTATCACTGATTTTTTATTTAATTTATGCCTTACATAAGAAATTTTTTCATAGAAGTTGCTAAGAGGTAATATAACTTAATGTAAGCTTATCAACTCGATTGAAATAATAAAACAATCAATCTTCTTCTCCTACATCATTTTTTTTATATAGTAATGGATGACAAACAAGAACACAGTCCACCTGATTGTAAGTGGTTGCTGCGGCCCATAGACATCTGCATCTATCCTCTATTACAAATCAAAATGCAGGTGCCTTGTCACCCGTGAGGACTAAGATGGAGTACCTCATTTCCAGTAAAAAGGGTCTCCGGTTCTCTACACTCACCATACGAAACACAGCAGCGTTAAGCTGCTATTTTACGCTGGTATTCTGTAAGAGCGTGGTCCTTCCACGGTCGAGCCGACCCATTTGTGCTACAACTATACTACTAATATAGCTGTAGCATGGCTCTACCACGTAAAAAAGTCCCCGTAGAAGTCCAATGCTGGACATGAGTCTCTTCTGTTGTAGGGAGGGTTGACCTACGACCTTCACATATAAGCATTCGATGTAATTAAACAATTTATCACCATAATTACAGACTTTCACAATCACAAGTATACATCTGTATGTATTATGCCTTCCCTAAGGATTGCTTCAAAACATGGTCTTATACCGATTTTCTGGTTGGTTGGTCTTATACAGATTTTTACGGCTGGCAGCAGGATTTTTGATGATGCTATACAGCCGCATTGCAGATAGGAGTGATGAATGGTATACAGATGATAATATCAGAGTATGAGATATTGAGTTATATATTATATAGTTCAATATCTCATACTCGCCTTTTACCATAATCTCGTCTAGACCGAACGGTCACGGCGGCCAGTCACGATGTAGACTAGCCATCTGCGCAGGACAGCATTAAAGCGCTCAAGTGAATGCGCGAATACAAGTGCACTCTCTATACTTACTGTCATAGTTCGATGGGAAAGTAATCCGACACTACCGAAGAGAATTTAGACGCAGGACTTGACGGCTTGACGTTTAAGTGCTTTCAGAGGCACGGGCTTAAAGTACCACCGATTTCATGACCCCGGGCTACAACTGAGAATTTCTTGACGTAAAAACTCCATTACTGATTATGGCTCGACTTGAACCTGGGAGCTCATGATAAGCAATCGCGTTTACGACTACTAAAACAATGGGGCAATGGATTATCTTACGTCGCCATTAACGAGAACGTCTCTATTATCAGTTATTTATTTATAATTAGAGATCCGCTCCTGCTTTGCTCAGATAGGATCTATATTAATGTGGCGTTACAATCAAGTACCATTTATTTTACAAATTTTTCGGTTTTTTTCTAACAAATTTTAACGTATTTGGATAAAATATTGCCTGGATCCCACCTAGAAATGCTCTCTATCTGTTCGTAAAGGATCATCACAATCGGTTCGGCTATTCAAAATATAAGCCCGGACAGACAGACAGATATATTTTTTAAATGGTAATTTATGTCTTAATAGTATGCTAATAACCCCCTGAGCTTATAACAGAAGCCAGTTATTTCAATATTACAGATAAAAATATTAATTGTATTATTATATAAAGAAGTATAGATAACATAATTATTGCTCCGCTTGTATATTTCGTTACTTACACTTGTTTAACTTGTATAAAATCATTCAGACTTACACGTTGCGTGACTGCGTGTCAGATTTAAATTCTGATTGGCGTGGAGTAGGCAGGCAAATTACGTTCTAAAGCGAAGTAGTTGACAGGCATGTAAACTGTAACTGTAAACTGTTTAATGGCGACTCGATTAACTCTAATAATAGCTTGCGATTTGAACTAGTGTTAGATACATACAAATAAGAGGAGGCATGTTTCTACTGTTGGGCACAGGTCTCATCTCATTTCTAACTGGATTAAGAAACGATTTATTTGCCACACTGCTACATTGCGTGTAGGTTTACGTGGTAGCGCCAAGCTGCAGCTATATTACCGTTGTAATACGAATGGGCCGGCTCGACTGGGGTAGGATCTCCTTTTCACAGAATACCAGCGTAAAATAGCAGCTTAGTGCTGCTGCGTTTTGTATGGTAAATGTAGAGAACCGGAGACCCTTTTTACTGGAAAACAGGCATTCCATCTTAGTACTCAGGGTTGTCAACGCATCTACATTTTAATTCTTAATTGAGGATAAATGTAGATGTCTATGGGCTACAGCATCCATTTACCATCAGGTCGACTTTGTGCTCGTTTGTCACCCTTATTCTATAAAAAAAAGGTCGACTACACATTTTCTGAAAATATTTTATTCCTCTTCCATGCAGGCTTCCACACAATGTTTCCTTCTCCGACGAGCAGAGCAGAAGTTTTGAAGTCTGATTTACAACATAATCAAAATTTAAAACTATTACGTATTATACTTAACTATAACGTCTCAATAGTATGCCAATAACGACTTGAGCTTAATCGAAGGCAGCTATTTCAATATCACACAGAGACAATTAGATTTTTTATACTAGTCCACGGGTGAAATTTGGGCGTTAAAAAATTTGGTACTTAAAATTGATGCTGGTTGCCGTTCTTTATCAGCTCGTATAAGTCTTTAGGTGGTTAAAGGCCTACGCCATTTGAGGTTCAAAATACTGAAAGTGGGTTATTTAAATAAGCACATTCCAACTGAGCTGCATCACACACCCAAACAGACTAGCTCGAGTAAGCAGCGCCTGTTTATAAGTACAAGCCTTACACTATAAGCCAGCAATCATTCCCCTGAATCTTAACAATCTGAAGTGAACGAATAGCCCCTCAACGGAAACGTAACCATTAAAAGTATAGCATACTCTTACTTACATCACTCAAATATGTTACACTAAACAAGTACCTACACATTTTTACGAAACATGCCAGCATATTCCCTAAATCAACTTTTGTTTAGAGCACACGGCTCTAAATTAGCTCGTAATTCAGATAGCGTTAAGCTAAGCGTTCGCTTTAGTTTTCCGAGGAAGAAAATCTTTCGAGAATACGTGAAGTCTACCTATATGCATTAGAGCAGAGCGACAGACAAATTGCTCGATAAAGTTACAGCCTAATATACGTCCCACTGCTAGGCACAGGCCTCCCCTCATTTCTGAGACGGTTTTAGGGCAAGGAAATGTTCGCCGCGCTGCCCCAATGCGTGTTGGCGAACTTCACATGTCTTCGATTTTTTTTCTTATTTCTCAGACATGCAGGTTTCCTCACGATGTTTTCCTTCACCGCCGAGCATGTGGTAAATCAGCACTTAAAATTGCAATTAATAATTTCATTGGTGCTGGCGGGGATCCAACCCGGGTTGCTCGCGTAATGTGAAATTTACAGCGAGAGCTAACCATCTGAACTACCACGGTTCCACGGCTACAACTGCTCGATAACCCACTCAGAAATAAGAAGAGGCCTGTGTCCAGCGGAGGAATGTTTATAGACTGTGATTTTACTTCTTTACAACTTTTGATATTATTTAACTGCCTATACACGGCAACTGGAAGCGATAATACTTACTTTCAATAATAAAATTTGATACTCGTAATATTTGTTTAACCTTTTCATTTATAGTTTTGAGTCGCGGTTAATAAGTATTATTTGTCCATCATCATCATCATTACAGCCCTGTACAACTCTACAGTGGTGGTACAAGAATATCCACTACCCCATATCATCCGGTATGTATCGTAAGAGGCGACAGAGGGAAATAAATCAGAAGATGGGCAGCAGTGTCTTCCAAATAATGACAAATAATAATAAAAAACTGCGGTTGACAATCTATGGGTGAGACCTATGTTCTGAACTCTAATAGGCTGTAACGGTAACGGTACAAAGTCCACTACTGCACTTAGGCCTCCCACAAGGAATGCCACAAAGCACAGTACTTCCCCATCGGTGGTCGGTTCTTCGAGTTATATGGCCGGCCCATTGCTAATTCAAATTTCTAATGTCAGTTGGGCTATGTCGGTTACTCTGGTCCTACTGCGGATATCAAAATGGGGATAACCACGGTATATAAATAATAATTTGTTGGTTTGCAAAAATAACTATTTATTTACTTTTTATTTGCAGGTTCTATCGTTGTGGTTTCATACTTCTTAATGGGCAGGCGGCTGTGCTCAGTGCTTCCTCCTTTCGATCAAACTGAGGGAAGCGTTAACAGTCAACAGGTAAATTAAAATAATTGGATATTAAATTTCAAAAATGTGATAATATTATAATTTTTTTACTTATTTATTTTGATTTACCGCAATCACCACGTTTAGCAAAATGAATAACGACACTGATACACTGGATACTGTACAGAACACATGTGTTTTGTCAGTAAGTTGAAGCTCTTTATTTGAATATACTGATTGTCTCTATCGGCATAGCTTTTATTTCACCAACTTTATTGTATCAAGTTATCTGATATAAATAATTGAAAATTATGTGCACTGTGATATTTTTACCTCTATTTGATCGAACAGTTTGTGGCATATTTGCATGTAATTACTAAGTAGATGTGGTCAACAATTGTACAAAAGCTTTGTTTCAGTTATTATGAATTTTATTTAAACAAATACGAGTTTAGCTCGTCGTGAGATTTCATCATGGCACGGCAGCAAAACTTGTATGATTCTTTTGAGGAAAAATAAATCTGTAGTGGGTTATTTTACGTGCTGACTTACCACGTGTCCTGTGAAGTGGTGGAAAATAACTTCGCGAGGAAACCTAAATGTCCGAGTAGTTAAAAAAAGTAGTGGAAATGGGAAAAACGTTAATACACATTGAAGCATTGCGACTTAAGTAATCTTTTCTGCCCTCAAAACACTTTAGACAGAAAGAAAGAAAGAAAGATAGCTTCATATTTTCAGACAATTTAAGATTTTTGTGACAGTTCTGGATTCATAGCTCACATGAGTATGTGAAAATGAACAGACTCTTGCGGAAAAATACTTTAATCATCAAAGATCTTTGCTATTTTATTTTAATTGTCAAAGGCCGTAATCAAACTGATCCAAACGTAAATTTCATGGAAAATAAGTATAAATATATATTTTAGCATAATATATATCTATTAATTGCAATTTGAAATATCGATTTACCACGTTTTCAGCAGTGAAGGAATATCTGCATATCTGAGAAGTTCCCCAGTTGAGGTGATCCCACGTTGGGATCAGCGCAGCGAACACTTTTTTGGCCAAAAACACTCTGCGGCCTGTGCCCAGTGTATAAATGCTGCTACTTTTTTAGTTTTGATGGGGAAAATTTTTTATTTAGTTCAGATTTTTGGAGATGTTATTTTCGTTTTCACTCTATCGTAAATATTAAGAGTAGCAAAGATTCGAAATACTAGAACTAATCATCATTGGCAAATAGAGTGGATATTTTCTATAGTTGCCACTCTTGGCAGGCGGATTGGCAACCGCAGCTTTTATTATTCTGAACTGTTGTCATAAAAATAATGTTGCACATCTCCTGTTTGTTTTCCTCTGTCGCCTTTTACGACACATACGAGACGATATGAGGTGGCGAATTCTCTTTCGCCGCCACAACAAGACGAACTTTTTCCTACTACCGTTCATGAGTGTACTTTACTTGTAGTTCTCCCACTTTCACTGTAAATAGAATTAAATTTTGCAATAAAAGTAATCTTAAGGAGTTTATCACGTTTAATTTTATCTTTTTTTAATTCTAGACGGGTATTTTATAGGATCCATGGCCAGGGGGGGGGGGGGTGTTTGACATCCTGTGTGTCTGATGTTTGATATTAGGTCCGATCTACGGAGAACGAGCTCATATTACTTGAAGTCTTGCAGCACTATGCTTGGGTTTGGATTTAATTTTACTAATTATGAGATCCCAAGCAGATGGTAGCACCCCGCCATCTTCTGTTGATTTTTTTTTTCAATAGAGACGACTTTCCGGAGCGCAAAAAAGAGATGTCATTTTACGCGGGTTTTTATGGATCTTTTATCTAAAGTTGTGTAAAAAAACGTGTTTAAATTAAATGTGGTAGAATCCGTAAAATTAGTTTTATTCCATGTGTATTAATCACCATTACTGCAGAAGTGCGTTAATGAAATTTTAGTCTAAGTCTACTTGAACGTAAAAATATATCAGCATTTATTTTATGGTACCAAGCAAAATTAAATGGGACTAATTATATCAATTAAATATCGCATATAAACATTATATTATCTTAAATTGATGGAAGAAATCTTGTGATGGAAGAAAATAATGAAATCATCATTATTTTCTTAAACAAAATTAACTTTAATTATGGATGAATGTATAAAGTAAAATGAAACTAATAATAATAATAAATTTTGGTTCCAAGACAATTTACCTTTTTTATGAATACATAGGAAGGCACGCCCGATGTAAAAAATAGATGTTTCTAGACAAATGATATTAATACGATTCTAAAAACTTATTTATTCACGTGTTCCTATAGCATATATATCTACGCCAAATATCACTCCGATAGTGTCTGTATGTCAAAGAATTTGAAAAAAAAATTTTGACAAATAGACATAAAGACGTAGACGCCGAGGTGACTATGAAATGATAGAATTTTGCTGAATTTTGCACCGAAGAGCATTTAATGATGTTCCTTAATTAAAGTCACGATAAAAAGCTAGTGCATAATAAAAAGTAAAGTTAAATGTAACTTTATAACACATTATATAGTCCCCAAATTCATCTTAGTCCTTAGCAGTAACAACGCATCTTCATTTTGATTCTCAATCGAGAAAGATATAGGTACTACACTCTAGTATACACATCAATATCCAATTACCATCAGGTGGACAGTACATTTGTTTGCCATCCTTATATCTATAGAAAAGTATAATATTTAAAATATCGCCACGGGACAAGAAAGGCATTAACACTAAAAACCTCTCTTATTTAAAGTAAGAATTTATTAAAAGAAAGATTTTATAATATAAAAAAACCAAAATACAAAATGATGATATCTTAAATTTACACGAGTATAACACGTTGAATAAAACCCCATTTTACGGATTTTATCGCGTCACGGACGACTAAAAATATGAGTGCAGTAAAATATCCGAAACGTCGAGAATACAAAAATACTTTAAATTGAACGCGATAAAATTCGTAAAGTTTGTTTTGTTCAACACCTTCGATTGCATTGTTTTAATTACGCTCTTAGTTAATTAACGTGGTAGAGCCATGCTGCAGCCATATTAATAGTATAGTTGTAGCACGAATGGGTCGGCTCGACCGGGGAAGGACCACGCTCTCACAGAAAACCAGCGTAAAATAGCAGCTTAACGCTGCTGTGTTTCGTATGGTGAGTGTAGAGAACCGGAGACCCTTTTTACTGGCAAAGAGGCATTCCATCTTAGTCCTCACGGGTGACAACGCATCTGCATCTTGAGTCTTTATTGATGATAGTTGTAGATGTCTATGGGTCACAGTGACCACTTACCATCAGGTGGACTGTGTGCTCGTTTGTCACACTATCCTATAAAAAAAAATAAAAAAAATAATATGGTTTGTGTTTCAAATGTGGCAAGAGATCTTAATTATTATAATTTATTTGTTAGGTTTATTTGCATTATAAAGTGCATTTTGGAAATTGTACAAATTATTTTAATTTTTAACCTAACCTAACCTGTTTTATTTTTTATATTATTTTATTTTCAGCGTTTGCGTCTGGTTCGTGAAAGAAAACGGGTCGCATGGATTCTGCTACTCCTAGCAGTACTATTTGCGCTGTGCTGGCTTCCTTATAACATTCTGCAACTTCTCATTGACATCAACGTGGTGCAGGTCGACGCAGGGGCGCTGTTTCTACCGTATACATTACTATTAGGTTAATATTTTCTTCTCTTGAGCTTAATTATGTAGTCAAAACCTCTCGCGTTAAGCGAAGCGTCTAGTGTCGACTTTTCAATACACGGTGTAAATGTGTGTGTTAAAAGGCAAGCACATAAAGTAACATTTTATATGTTAATTAATATTTCTGTACCTGTTTAATTAACCAAATAAACTTTTAATGATTATATATAAATTCACCGTTTAACAAGGCTTACTTTAACCTGGTTCCTGAAACACAATCATACAGGATTTCCGACAAGTGTGGCACAATATTAATGGTTATAGAGTATACTGTAATTGAGCAGGTGTTCGTTTTTTAAGGGACCTGTCTACCACGCTATATGTTTCCCACTTCTATTCTAATTAAGACTTTTCAAAGAGTTCTCGTTTTGAGGGGCCGGCACTGCTTGTCAAGTACTTTGTAGTAGTTTTTGAATACATCGCCATACTCATAACGATATGAGCGTAAAAATCCTTTGCATTCTGTTGCAGCTTTTATAAAGTAGCTGCTGAACCTTTAGAATTGGAATTTTAAGTAGCCGTATATTTAAAGGTATAGTTAGATAGCTAGATATGTTATCAATCTTTTTTTTTTTTTTTCAAAATATATTGGCAGCCAAAACAAATCCCGTTTAGATATATAATTAATGACTGGAACTATGACAGTAATAATGATGAAAATTATGCCATAAATAATTTTCTAATGATGAAAATTCTGCCATAAATAATTTAATATAATACAAACAATGAATTTAATCTATCTTGCACACGTGAATCGTCAATAATTATTAATTTTTTAGCGGGCATTAAAATTGTATGCCACTGTCGAGTATTAATTGTTGGTTACTATCATTTAAGACATTATACGTACATAATACATAGCCAAGATTATCTTAGATTTTAATTCAATTAAAAATAAACTTATAGCGTATTACATTTTTTCTAGTAATAATTGAACGCTAGCAACTTTTTTTGCTTAGAACTTTTTTTGCTTTTACGGCTCCATGGCGCAGTGGCTTAGCCATTGAGTTGCTGCGCTGGCGGCCAAGGGTTCGAATCCCGCACGGAACAAGTATTTTGTATGGCCTTCAAATGATTGTTGCGGGTCTGGATGTTTTTCGTTGTACTATTTGTGTTTGTAAACTGTCCCCACGATACAGGAGAAAATCCTAGTGTGGGTAACGTTTTTTATAAGAAAAAATAAAAGAATTCCGTCTGGATAAGTATGAATCTCTTACTTATTACTGACGAAAGCAATGAACAAGGAACACAAAGTGCGTACAATTCCGTGGTCCGGTCTGAAGTGTAAAGAAAACCTTTATTATAATTACAGTTTGTTAGGTATTCCAAAAAAAGTCGACGTATCTATAGCTTTTTGATCAACATTAGCGTTTGCCACCAGGTAGACTTTTCATTTCTCAGTTCAATTGTATAAAATTAGATTTTTTTTTAAATTTTTCAGGGCATGCAAATTCCGCCATCAATCCAATTGTCTATTGCTTAATGACGCGCAACTTTAGGCGGTCTCTCCGGAAACTACTCTGTCACGACCCCGGTAACATACACTCTAGTACTCATTTCCATGTAAGTTTGCACAGGTTGTTACGTTTAATTTTAGTTTAGTAAAGTTTACGCTTTATGGTAATAGAATTGATATTTTTAGTAATTAAATGTTCTTTAGAATTGTTTTGTTGGTAACATCTGCATGACAAACCTCTGAAATAGCGTTGATGAATTATCGTTCTCATAGCTTATATAAGTTTTACTTTGGATAGAGTTGCGTACGTTTTGTTTTTATTTTAATTTTAATGGTGACATTCATAGGCAGCTTATAATTTTTAAATTTACAATGCCAGCTTTCCTTGATCTGAAATTACAAAAAAGTCCACGCCATTATTACTAATATTAACTTCAGTAATTTAGTTGTTTTTAGCTTCACTTAAATTAATTCATTTAATATCATCTACTACTACAAAGTTATTGCTTTTACAACATTAAACATCAAACGATTTTTTTTAAATATTTAATACTTATTTATTTATTTATTCTTTATTGCACCAAATTTGTACAAAAGGCGAGCTTAATGCTATATGGCATTCTCTACCAGCTAACCTTGGGTAGAACAGAGAGTGAGTTTGGGCAGTTAAGTTGTCATGATATAATTCATAATTTATAACTTATAACATAGGCGATATAATAATAGGCGATACGGCTCATGGCTTCCGATAGATGTAGATATCTCGTCACGCCAGCCTAATCTCACTCCGGACGTGTCGGTTTACCGTCAAATCGGATATGAGTAACGGAAAAGGGAGTGCAACTATGCTGGCGCATACACTTGGACACTATAATCCTGTCCTGCGCAGATGGCCAGTCTCCGTTGAGACTGACCTCCGTGCCCGAAATTCGGTCTGGAGGAGATTGTTATTATTGTTAATATTCTAGAATCACATTTACTATTTACATACTGGTGTATGTCAAGAAATATTCTTAATCGAGACCCATTATAATAAAGCGCGTTCCTGAATCATATATAATTAAAAATTAAAAATTTAATTAAAAATTAAAAATTTTTACTTCAATATAAGTTACGAGTATTAAGAATAGCTCAAAAACTATTGGTCTGACCTTGATAAAATTCATATGGGACCACACGAGAAGTATCAGCTTTCATATAAAAAAGAATCATCGAAATCTGATCACCCAGTAAAAAGTTATGAGGTAACACACAAAAAAAACGTACAGTCGAATTGAGTATCGTCTCCTTTTTGGAATTCGGCAGATAACCACGAATATTTGCATAGAATTAAAGGAATTAATCCCTCTGTCTCCCTTACACCATCAGAAAACTACGCTACTGAGCAATTTTTGTTCTTTATTTGCCCATAGTATTTCACTGCTGGATAGAATAGAGTATAGTAGAATATGTTTCATTCAATATAGATTATAAATAATTCTTACAAATTTTTTTTTACTTTAACCACTGGTTCCGAAAAAACCCATGTCCCGGCAAGAATCAGTAAGAAACGGAGCGGAACTTTTCAAATTAATAATATTATACAATAAAGTATAAGTTTTAAAATATAAGTTTTTTCTTTACTTTCAAAACTTATATAAGAAAAAGTTTTAAAGCAAATCATCTTTCACCTTTCTATCAGAGGTTATTTTCAACCGTGTATTCATTTATGTTATAAAAATCCTATTTATAAACTTTGTTTAGTAAAAAAAAAACTTGGTAATAGAGAAACCTTGTTAATCTATTGGGATTTATATGTTGTTGTATGATGCTGCATGCTTGTTTTGGTGTAAACATTGTCATGAATTAATAACTGATATAGTGTATATCCCTTTTTATTTAAACTAATTTTGTTTTTGTGAACGTACAATTAAGTTTTTGTAAGAACGAAAGAGATCAATGTTAATATTTTTAATAAATAATTTATAATTTAATAAAAAACAAAGAAAGTTTAAGTTCTAAAGTTTTAACAGTACACTGAAGATTAATTTATACACCAAATAATTATCTCAAAACATTGAGTTAATATTAATATATATATATATATATATATATATATATATATATATATATATATATATATAGTAGACTGAAAGTGTTTGGTCATTTCTTTTCTTAGAAGCGTCGGTTATATGGGAAGTTTTTTGATTGGTCACTGGTCCTCAGTACTACTAGCATATTTGCGGGCGGCGGGAACGAGTCTACCCGTTCCATTGGTTGCCACGGGTTTGGCGGCAATTTCAAACCAGGCGAGAAGACATAGTGCATTTACATAAAATAGATTTTCAGATTTTTAACCTTTTTTGTTTTAAAATACATTAAATATAATTGTTGTTTAAATGTACACTTTTAACCTTAAGTAATGTTCAGTACATTACTTAAGGTTATGTATATGTACATTATATTTTATTTATATATTTTTCGATGTAGTATAATATTATTTACTTCGTACTTAAATGATTCCCGTTTAAGTTTCATAATCAATTAAGAATGTCTGCAAATAATACTATATTATAATGATTCCTATACTACAAAGTAAGGTAAGTCATTAATACAGAATAGGAATAATAATGGGCTAAAAATTGAGCCCTGAAGAACACACGGAACTGAAGAATATAGGTGACACGGAAAAATTATAATAATTTACAATAGCATTTTGCGTTGTTTTACTTCAGCATGAAAAACTAAGTTTAAAATTTATGCCTCTCACACCATAAACTGTAGCTTTCTAATTAATGTCTCGTGGTGAACATAGTCAAAGGCCTTGGAAATATTAAAGTTGGTAAAAATTACCTCGCTGACATCATTTTATTTTATCGAGCGGATGTACGCGAGGTAAATTTTACCAAATTTATTTCTAAATATTTGTTAGTTGTGTTAGTACATTTAACTTATTTGTCTAGTATTAGTGTGGTTAGCTATTTTTCTGGGATGTGGATCCCTCTTGAGTATATACTTCCTCCTTCTCTTTCCATAATTCTTTGTCTTGCCGAATTTTTGCAATGATATCATCAATCCACTATCTGGCTCGTCTGTCGACATTTCTTTTGCCTAACGGTCCTCTCCAACATGTTGTTTTTATGGTCCATCTATCATATGTGAACCTCAAGATATTGCCATTTTAGTATTAAGGCTTGTAAAGATGGTTTAACTTTTTTATTTTTGTTCTTTTTCTGATTATTTATGATCTTATTTTGTGTATTTTCCTCATTTTTAATATACTTCTCGCCATTGCCCTCTGTATTGTTCTTAGTTTTTCTTTCATTCTCTGTATGTAAATTCACTTCTGACAACCGTACAGCAAGACAGGAGACAGGATTCAATTAATTTTTTTTTTCATAACCTATGTATAATCAATCTCCTTTTAATATTTCCTTTAGGGACCATATTTTGTTCTAAGTAATTTTACATCTCCTTTCTATTTCTTCTTCATTACTAGATGATCTGAATAATGCCTGTTTTCCTAGGCATATGTATTTGTCCATATATTTGTGTCTGTCTTTTATACAAATAGGGATTATATGGCTATTTTCATCTTTGTTTTGGAGGTATTCATCTCTAGTCCTACTCTAGCACTTTCTCAATCAAGTAAGTTTATTATTGCTCCTAGTTCTTAAAATATTTCAGCAAATACAACTATCATCTGCGAATCTCAAATGGCTCAAGCAACTGCCAGCTAATTTCAACCCTCTGGTTTTCCAGTCTAGTTTTTAAAATACAGTTTCTACGACAGCGATAAATAGTTCCAGTGACAGAGGGTCACCCAGTCCTACTTCTCTTTTAATTTTTATGTCTTCTTCTCTAGTTTTAAGCTTGAATTTACTGGTGGCTTTATTGTATATGTACTTCAGGATGTTTATAGACCTTCTTACTACCTGCCTTTCGGCGGTCCCAATATGTCGTAACGTACATTTTGTAATCCATAAATTTTTCTGTTGAGCACAAAGACCTTACAATATATGTACAGATTTTAAACTATGTTCTTTTTAAAATCTCTCTCTTTATCTTATCATTATTTAAAGAAAGATAGCGATAGTCTAATTTACCACGAGGACTAGTCAGCTTGGGAAATTATTTGTTTTTGTTGTATTTTTTGTTTTATTCCGGTGGCCGATGGCGTTGTCCTATGTGCTACATTTAGATGTTTGCGTGCATGATGATAGGGAGTTACTTTTGCCTTGCATCAGGTTAAATGGATTGACTTTATTAGTTTATGGGGTTACATTTGGTTTTTTAGCCTGGTTAAGGTAAGTAGCCCTACTTACCTTAACCAGCCTGCTTGATTCATTTTTATTACGTTTTTCTTTGACGTTCCGCCCCCCTGGTTAATAATGATCTTATCATATTATATTATAGCAAAATTACCCTTTTCCCTTTCTTGTATAAGTTTCATTTGTAGTTTCTTCCTTGTCATCAAAACATCCTTGGGATATTCTTCTGAAATATATGCTTCCTTAAAATTCTTCTTGTTTATAATTATTACATTCTTATTCAAACCATTCACGAATGGTTTTAGAATTGGTCTTACTTTTTTCTTACTGTATTTTTCCCAAATTCGGTGTATGATTTCAATGTCTCATTTTTAAGTGAAATGTTTAGATCGTGTTTTACATTTACTATGATTATTTCTATAAGCTGAAATGACAATTTTTCATTTTCACTTGTGCCAAGCCAATCAGAAAGAGCTCGATCGCTGACGATTCTAACCGCTCTGCGCTGGATGCGAGTAAATGGAAATAGCTAGAACTAGCGAGCCCCAGTCTAGAGATGGGAATGGTATTCCATATGCGGCCAAAACTGCGCCTTGTAAAGTTGCAGGGGGTGTGTTGGTATGAAACATTCTCCCGTTCTGCTGAGCACACTGTTTCTTGATGCAGTTCCCCATGGTCAATCTAGGTATTTAACATCTAAATATGACGTGCTTACATGCACAAAATTGTACATTGTCATCTATAGCAATTGAGATACTTTTAACTCTTTTTATAGTTGTCTCTTACTATAGCTACGAGACAGTTTGTTACATGTTAAACAGTTTGTTCCTAAATTACAACCTATACCTATATATAAATACCTATATATTATTTTTATATATATATATATATATATATATATATATATATATATATATTATATTATATTTTTCTAATACTCTAATTATTCTTACAGATGCAAGGATTACGTCAAAAGTCCAACACGTCTAGCATGCGAACCTGTACAACGGTGACCTTTAGAAGCAGTAATAACCAAAGTGGTAGGGCTCCGTTTTCCCCAAACATTCAATATGGCAAAGTTAATCGAGCCCATTCAGTTAAAGAAGGCGTTTGGAAGGATCGTTATCAAAGAAAAGCTCCCCAATTTATTTAAATCTTCTAAAATCTTTAAAGTTTAAGTATGTACATAGAAGAATATCCGGCTCGAAGGACCATTAAATACACGAGCCCTTGCATGCTACGTACATTTATCTTTTGTTGATTGTAAATGGCTAGGAATAACGGATTAAAACTTAACAAACTATTTCTTCATACTTTAATGATCGACCGCGAACGGTCTATAAAAATCAATTCATATAAATTCGGCAAAGGAAACAGTTGTATCAATTTAACGTAAACAATGAATATGCTAATGTGCGACTACGGTAATTTCTATGCTTAATTGTAAAATATGTTATGGTGTGATATATTTTTATGGTAATAACGTTTTATTCGAATTATAAGAAGTAATTCTTAATTAGGTTAACAAGATTGTCGTCTTTCTGACGATCTTATAACTAATAATTTTAACAAATAAGAATATAAAAAAATAAATAACCCAACTGCAGTAAGCTACCTAGTCTAAAAATATAAATAAAACTGAAGTGTGTATCTGTAATGCTGAAATAAGTGACATCTATTAAGCTCAGCGGGTTATTTATATGCTTAGCGGATATTTATACAAAATTTGTCTGTCTGTCCGGGTTATTCTTTGGAATAGCTGAAACGATTGCGATGAAACTTAATGAGCAAATATATGATGACATGCCTTATAGTCTGTAATTATACTTGTTCTCTTTACCCTAGACTGAAATACAGTAGTAAAGGCACAGCTGCCTGGCGACAGTAATAGGTGTTACCCAGCCAGACGGACTCCTACGCCGAAAAGGCGTCCTGCTATCTAACGACAAATAAATTAACTAACAGGCTTACAATTATTTTACTTCAAACCGCTTTTAAAATAATAAGTATTGGCAAACGAATACACAGTCTTCTGAGGACCTAATTATCAAAATGCAGATTCGTTGTCAGCGTCACATCTGTGGAATAAGATAGAACGCCTCGTTACCAAAGTTACAGCCTACATAAGTCCCACTGCTGGGCACAGGCCTCCTCTCACTTCACGAAACTTCACATGTCTTCAAAATATTTTTTGATTCTCAGAAATGCAGGTCTCCTAACGATGTTTTCCTTCATCACTGAGCACGTGGTAAATCAGCACTTAAAATTGCAACTAACGTTTTCGTTGGTGCCGGCGGGGATCGAACTCGGGTTGCTCGTGAACTATGAAATTTACAGCGAGCGCTAAGCCCCTGAGCTACAACGACTATTTTCCAGCTTTGTCACTAGTAATAGGTTTATTCGGTAAAATTAAACTTTTCGAAACACTACAGTTTGGTTTACTTTACGGAAGTTTATAAAATGGTACTTCCAACCCAAAAGGGTTTCTAAACCAAATAAGAGTCATACAAACCAGCATCCCATAATTTCTTTTCTGATATGAGAAGGTGATTTGTTCTTTTTTGTCAACCTTTTAAACTACTTCTGGATATGTAACTTTTCAAAAATGTGTCAAAACTCACAGCGAACTAAGAATAATATAATAAGTACATAGATGATATTGTAGAGTTATTTATTTTAATCACATCTATAAAAAGGGATAGGAATTTTAGCTTCGTAGACGTCACACTTAAATAGAATGTTAATACAAAATACCTACATACTTTTTAATTAATACTTGCATATAAATAATGTATATACACTATAGTAATATATAATATATAGTTAATATAAACAAATTATTTTAAAGAGACCTAAGAATAGGGAAAGAAACTAACCCCTAAAATAAAGGTATAATATTCTAGTTTAGGGGTTGTGAATGTGAATTTCTGTGCTTCTGTGTTTAATTAAAAATATATAACTAGCATATTATTTATAACTTATTATTATATTAACGAAAATATAGACAAAGCCGTACTTGGCGTAAGACGAAATATATATATATATATATATATATTTCGTAGGGCTTAATACCTATCTGGGTTAACTTGGAAATTAAAATATTAGTCTTACTAACTGCTTAGTTTAAAAAAAAATTTGCAGTTAGTATAGTGATGTTAATATTGTTAATTTGTACGCAATTAAATTAAATCAATTATTGGGCACAAATCTATAGTAATGATATGTACCTACGTGTTATCAGTGTAAGATAGACTTTTAAATAAATTTGAACTGCTATGTTAAATAAAAGAATAATTTACAATTAGATATTTTAAGTACAATATGTACCTATGTGTTATCTCTGTAAGATACTTTTAAATCAATTTGAATTATTATGTAAATTAATAAAAGTGTAATTAACTTAAGATATTTAAAAGTACATTATTTAATTGAAGTGTAAAAAAGCAAATCAAATGATTTATTTGCAATCGAAGTGTACATACAGTACAGACCAATTGTCTTAAATTTACAATGTGCTTACAACTTGAGGCCCTTTTCAGGCACTGCAAATCTGACAAGAACACTGCTTATACATAAAATATAAAATATACTTAGAAGCTAGATAAATATAAAAATATATTTAGTGTTAGTATTTGTTATTTAAAAAGATATATTGAAGTGAAAGTAAACGAGTATATATGCTAAGGCATTTGTGTGTAAATATTAAAAATGTGAAATTTTTTACTTCATTATCTTAGTGAAAAATAGTCTATCATACACGCACATCGCAGTTAACTGGCAAAACGTATTTGTTGTCATGTCGCTAATACAAAGATGATTTTTTTAAGCTTGTAAGTTTCAAAACAATAATGTGTACTTGGTAATTATCATTTTAAAAATGTACGATAGTAGTTTAAAAAATACATTTATGCGTATTTAGACATATGCCAGCACCAATATAATTCGTTTCACGGTTAAGTGGTGATGTGCTGTTTTTTATTTTTATAGAATACGGGTGAAAAACGAGCACACAGTCCACCTGATTAGTAACTTGATGCTGTGGCCATAGATATCTGCATTTATCCTCGATTAAGAATCAAAATGCAGATGGGTTTTGTCATCCCTATCATCCTGGTTCTCCACACTGACCATACGAAACACAATAGCATTAAGCTGCTGGTTAACGCTGGTATTCTGCGAGATCGTGGTCCGTGGTCCGGTTGAGCCGACCCACTCGTACTACAACCATAATATAGCTGCAACATGGCTCTACTACTACTAATTTTAATTTTTTTTATGTATCCTTAAATAAGTAAACATGTAAATAAAGATTTTATTGATGTCTTCTCTGTTTATTTTAAAATTGTGAATACAAATTATTATTTAACCTAGTGACTGATACGTGCAATTCGTTTGTCACTCCCTGAAACTTGGTAATGAGACAGAATGTTGTTTGATTATTTAACTTTATAAATCTGAATGTCATTTATTTGAACGAAGGGACAATGAAAATCGAAAATTGGCTTCAACTCTATTAATATTTCATTCCATACTTAGTTTATTTGAGCAAAAAATTATTTTAAAAATTTGATGATATATTATACTTACAAATTTAAATTTAGAAAAACATATAGGTTTCCGGCAAAAAGAAGCATTTAATGTGAAAATTTTTAAGGTTTATTTTAATGTTTTTAAAAAGCAAGACAACATTGGTTGGCAGAAACGGTAAAATAGCACCATAGAAGTAAGTAAGTTAATCGACCGAATTGGCCATAATTTGAAGATGAGTCAAATTTAGTGTAACAAAAAACAACGAGCATGTATACGTACTCGCAAATAGAATGTGAAACAAGTGATAGCGATTTTTTTAGTACAGGAGGCAAACGAGCATGCGGCTCACCAGATGGTAAGTGATTACCGCTGCCCATGAACAACTATAACACCAGCGGAATTGCAGATGCGTTGCAAGCCTTTTCAAAAAGATTAGACTCTTCTCTTGAAGGTCCCTAAGTCGTATCAGATCAGAAAAAATTGCTGGTTGTAAACGATTCCACAAGGAAGTTGTATGAGGAAGAAAACTTCTACGAAATCGAACAGTGGTGGACTGCCAATCATACAGATGGTTTAGATGGTATCGCTAGTATTGTCGCGATGTGCGATGGTGAAATTTAGCGACTGGAATTAGTCCGAACAATTCCTCAGAGCATTTCCCGTGGTAGGTGCGATAGAATATGCAAAGAGATGCAACATCTTTTCGCAGCACCAGTGAATCGAGCTGATCGGAAAGGACTTAGTCGTCGACGATTCGAGCCACTCTGCGCTCGATGCGGTCAAGTGAAAGAAGCTGGCACTGGGAAGCCCAGGCCCAGAGAAGAGAACAGTACTCCATGTGAGGCTAAACATGCGCCTGGTAAAGTTGTAGTCTGTGTACCAGCATGAAATATACCACTCTGCTGAGCCAAGCTTTTTAGAAGCCAATTTGGCCTTCTCTTCCAAGTGACCATTTGCATCTTCTGGAAATTGAACCGGACTAGATTTAGTCGCAGCCAATCCAAGACTTTGTTCAGTAAAGACTCGACTTCAGAAACAAGTTTGTTCCGGTACTCGGCGACGTTTTCTCGAGAAATATTAGCACGGCCGTTGTATGCTCTATACATCAACAGTGATGTCATGTGCATAGCAATAAATGAATCCGATTTTCAACATATCCTTGATATGCTGAATAAACAGCTTTGGTGTTAGTACGTAACCTTGTCGAACACCAGCGCGTTAATAGGCTTGTAATTGGAGCGTGCACCGTCTACTACGACCTTGATGCTCCGATCAGCCAGAACACTGGTGATGTAATTGCACAATTTCTTAGGAAACCGATAGGAAGGAAGCTTCGAAAGAAGCGCTTTATGTCAGACCCGATCGAAGCCCCTCGCTATGTCCAAACTAACGGCCAATGCCTTCTCCTTGGACTCGATTGCCCGTGCCCATCTATGTGTTAGGTAAACAAGAAAATCACTGTCAGAGTGATCCCGACCGAAACCGTACTAGCTGTCACTAATCAGTTGGTGCTCCTCAAGGTACCGCATGATTAGACAGTTAATAAAGGATTCCATTATTTTCGAGAATAAGGAGATGCAGCCGATAAGCCTGAAGTTGATCGAATTAGAGCGGTTACTTTTT